ACACATATACTTGAAAACTTAGGTGAAATGGACCAGTTCCTCTACACGTACACCCTACCACAAATCACCCATGTGAAATAGATGATAGGAATACTTTGAATTGCGAAGTAAATTTGTAATCTTAAAATACCCTCCCAAAAAAAGAAACCTGCAGGCACAGTGAGTGGTGTGTTAGAGTCACAGGCAAATGTTGGTTCCTGATACAACTCTCCCAACGATCCCTATGATAAGCATTCTCCCCAACCTCCCAGGGCCTTCCCTTTGGCCCCTTTAGATAAGATCCCCCCCCCCACTCCCACAAGCTTACCAAAACCTTGTTGTGTTTGGTTTGAATTGACCAATGTGGCCTTAGCCCAGAACCCCAAAGCACGCCACTGAGGGACACTAATAAAGGCATGTGCCCCACGTCCTGCCCTAAGCTCTCTGCCTACACGCTGCCTTAACCTCCTCACATGACCCCTACAGGTGTGCAGAATAGCTCCCCCAGATCTGTGAGTAATAAACTTCTCCACTTCACTTTCCCTTGTAGTCTTTTCATGGTTCACCATCTGACCTCTAGGGCTCTACTTAACAAATGTTAATACAACAAAGTCACAATAACAACACTAGACAATTCTATCAAACCTACAAATTAACAGAAGTTCTACACAATTTCTTTCAGAAAACAGAAGGGGAAGCAATACTTTTCCCAACTAAATTTATGAGGCCGGTATTAGCATAATACCAAAACTACACAAAACATTAAGGGGGGAAAAGAGATAACTACCAACTAAATCCCAAATGAAGATGCAAAAATTCTTAGCAAAATATTAGCAGTAGAAATCAACAATACACAGAAAGAATTGTACACCATGACCAAATGGGTTTACTTGAGGACAGAAGGGGGTTTCAAATTCTAGTCAGTGTAACCCACCATGTTAACAGGCTGGAGAAGAAAAATCACAGGATCCTGTCAACTGAGACAGAAAAAGCATTTGACAAAATTCAACACCCATTTACGATATAAACTTTCAGAAAACTGGGAACAGACGGACATTTCCTCAATTCAATAAAGAACTCCTACAAAAACTTAGAGCAAACATCAGACTTAATGGTGAAGGAATGGATGCTTTTCCCCCAGAGACTGGGAACAAGGCAAGGACTTCCACTCTCACCACTGATATTTGACATGTTATTAGAAGCTCTAGCCAGTGAAGCAAGGGAAGAGGAGTAAACAAAAGAGATAAAGAGAGAAAAGGAAGATAAAAGAGTGTACCCATTTGCAGAAGACATCGTGGTTGTGGTAGGCTGAATAATGCCCCCACCCCAAAGGATGTTCACGTCCTCATGCTTGTAACATGGGAGTGTTACTGTAAATGTCATAAGGGAGTTTGCAGATGTGCTCTGGTGAAGATCGTGAGGTGGGAGATTATCCTGGATGATCTGGTAAACTCGATATGGTCCTGAGGGTCCTTATAAGGACGAGGAAGAGTTAGTCATGTAGAAGCTGGTGAAGTGATGGAAGCCAAGGGGCAGAGCTAAACAAGTTTTAAGATGCTATCTTGTTGGCTTAAGATAGAGGAAGGGAACCATGAGGGAGAGGATGGAAGCAGCCTCTGGATGTGGGCAGGTAAGGAAACAAATTCTAACCTGGAACATCCAGAAGGAGCACAGTGCTAGGGAACCATGTTACACATCTGGCCTCCAGAACTGTAAGAGAATAAACTTGTTAGTTTAAGTCATTCAGGTTGTGGTAATTTGTCACAGCATCAGTAGGAACATGTTTGAAGTTGCATTTGTAGAAAATCCAAAGGAATGTACAAAAATTTCTAGAAAAAGTAAAAATTTGCAAGGTGTTAGACGCCTGGGTGGCTCAGTTGGTTGAGCGACTGCCTTCGGCTCAGGCCATGATCCTGGAGTCTCGGGATCGAGTCCCGCATCGGGCTCCCTGCTCGGCGGGGGGTCTGCTTCTCCCTCTGACCCTCCCTCCTCTCATGTACTCTCTCTCTCTCTCTCATTCTCTCTCTCAAATAAATAAAATCTTTAAAAAAAAAGGTGTTAGAATACAAAAGCATGCAGAAATCTATTGCATTTCTATATACTAGCAATTTACACCTGGCAACTGAAATTAAAAATGCAATAGTACCATGTATAATTGCTCAAAAAAGAAAACGTATAAGAAACATGAGCCCATGTTCCAGCGCAGGGTCCTCTGGATCTGAGACAGATATCAGTCCCTGGGAACTGTCAGAGTGACCCTAGGCATTTGGTAATGCGGATTATCTCCTTTTCAGAAACTACAGTTGGAATCTCGGTAACTTTCTACCTTATTCATCATTATATTTTCACGTACTTCACTGTGTGCTTGTTAACCTCCACACACTTGATTTTCAAGCACCTGACTAGAGCCAACTATCACAGTAAGAGATTTCAGTTAACCATCTGGCCATTCAAGTTACTTCACATAAGACCTGAAAGAATTCTTCATATTTTGTACCTACTACTTTCTACCTGTCACTGCCTTATGTTCATTTTCATGTCACAAAATCTCAAAACAACCCCCTGATTTATGTATCCTTTGGTGTAAAACGGGGGAAAATGTAAACTAAACATATAATCTGGGTCACAATGTGTGGAAGGAAAAATTGTATTAAAAATTGGGGGGGGGCGCGCCTGGGTGGCTCAGTTGGTTAAGTGTCTGCCTTCAGCTCAGGTCGTGATCCCAGGGTCCTGGGATCGAGCCCCACATCAGGCTCCTTGCTCAGCGGGGAACCTGCTTCTCCTTCTCCCTCTACCTGCTGCTCCCCCTGCTTGTGCTGTCAAATAAATAAAATAAAATAAGAAATTTGACTACAGTTGAAAATGGATCATGTAACATATTGCTTAAGACCCTAATTCAAAATTGACCTTTAAAATCATTGGTAAAATTGCTTCTAGTAATATTATCTAATAAACATTTCCAAACAACTTGCATTAAACTAGTGTAAGAACATCTTAAGGCAATTTATCAAATAGTATTTTATAAGCATTTTCAACAACCACATCATACAATGGAACCTACGTGTAGAGGAGGAAAGGGAATGTAATAAATTATCAGCATGAAGAAAATTTTGTCTTTCCCAACCAAGAAATCAGGAGTTTCAAGAGTAAATATTCAGTTTTTTACTAAAGAGTATCCATTTCTTGACGGTTGACTACTGACATCTTTTAAGGCTCACTACTACCTCTATTCTGCCCATCTGGGCAAGCTAATAAAAAAAACCCTCCTTTGATACCAGCTGGAAGTTCAAACCACAGCAGGTAACCTCCCCCAGCCCCACCCAGTAACCACCTTAACACACCAAACCAGTCACCATTTCCTGTTCCCTCACGTCATTTTTGGACCAGCTTGGTGCCCGCCCTAGAAATCTTCATTAGGTAACACATGTTCTCATAATGCTGTTAGTGCATGGCATCACCAGTCTCGATATCGAAAGCCAACTTTGGTGAGGGTTCCACCTATTCCAGTGGATGGCCACAAGTGCAAATTAACAAAAAGATGTGTTGGAGGGTATATATATGAAATTTTTAGTTTATCTATTAAACAAAGGTTCCCATTATATACTGTTCATCCTAAATTATTTGAGTGCTCCAAGTTCAAAACAGATTATTTTTAGCCTAATTGTTGAAATTATTTTATGTCTAAATTTTTCATGCTATGTTCCTACTTTCACTTTATTTAAATCAAGGTGCATACCATGGGTTTTATTTGGGCACAAAACACATGAAGAAATATAATCATATGGTGCATATTCATGGATGGGGGGCAGATTTTAGGGGATCAGAGTCTTTAACTTGCACTGTTAAGGCATTTTCATTATTGCCACATAAATATCCTGGGGCAGAGTATGTAGAGAATAACTCAAGTGCAAAGTGTAAGTATATAATCCCCAAATTGTTCTTTGATTCCATCATGGAGAGAAATTGTTACAGATTCCCTCAACTTTGAGAGCTTAATGGTGCATTGTCAGTGTGTGGTATGAAGTACTCTACAGAGGTGGGGTAAACTTGTTGGAAAAAGAACATGACTCCATCAGGGTTATGGGGAAAAATTATTTAACCTTTATTAATTACAACATGAGAGCTATGATACATTTTGAAGAAAACAGTAGCAAAATGTAATGGCAGGAGTTAGCTGTGAATCATGCACATACTGTTCTGGTTCTTTCCATTCCACTGCCTTCTCAGATAACTGCTCTCTTCAATTTTCAAGAAAAGGGAAATCTGTCAATAATAGATCCATTTCTCATTGACAGTATAGAACAGCTATTACCATCTTCCCCTGCATTGTTGCTATCACATAATCAGTCCCTAGTAAACAAACTAGCACTGTCATCCCATGAAAAGGCCAGTCCCTTTAATTCATCTAGAGAAGGGGGCCCTGAAGGTAACAAGCATGATGACTTATATGGAGGTTTGCATTATTCTCTGGCCCTCCCCAGTGCAAATTCACACAATCGTGAATCTGACGACTGTGTTTCTTGTTCCAGGGAAATGGGATATAAGTCACACCCAATGAAGCAGACCCTTTCATCTTGATTCCTCCTCAGAGACCATCAGGAAAGGCCTATAAGGAAGGCTTAAGATCAACAGATTTCAAACTTCAGGTTGAAACTCATAAATAGTAATGTAGCCTTTTCAAGAAAACTCAAGTAAATAAATACCTTATACACAGAAAATAATGAGCTACTTCCACATATGTCCTTGTTCCCATGATATGGGAATTTTAACATTTTTTGACATAATTACTCTGCACTAACATCTCAGGTTAATCTCAGAGAACTAAAGACTTAATTATTCCAGTTATATCGAGTTATTCCTGAATTCTCTGATGTGTGGTCTGTGAATTGGTCAAAAAATTTATCATATTTGTAAGAATTCTCCCCAGTATGAATTCATTGGTGAATCCCAAGAACACACTGTTCCTTAAAAGCATTTCCACATTCGGCGTATTTAAATAGGTGTAGTTTCCCCTGCATAAATTCTCTCATTACTCCAAAGGTATGGACATTTGATGAAAGCCTTACGACATTCTTTACATTTGTAAGGTGGCTCTCCAATATAAATTCTCTGATGTTCCACAGTTTTGATGTTGGGGCAAAAGCCATAGCATACACGTTACTTTTGTGTGGTTTCTCTGAAAGATGTATGTCTTGATGTCATTGTGAGGCCCAGATAACAGCTCTGCCACATTTACATGGTTTCTCTTCAACATGGACTCTGTTGTTGAAAAATACTTGGAACTCAAGGTAAGGGCTTTGCCACACTCATTGCATTTATAAGGTATTGCTCTAGTACGTTCCCCAATTTTTGATCTTTGGGTAAAATCCTTGCCACACACATTACCTTTGTGCGGTTTCTCTACTGGATATTTAATCACATCCAGTGAAGAGTACTAATTTAAAACTCTGCCACATTTGTTACACTTGTAAATGTGAGCTATTTGGTGAAACCGGAGTTTAAGGCAATACCTAAAAGCCTTGCCATGTTCAGTACATTTGTAAGGTTCTCTCCAGTATGGATTATCTGATGACTGGTGAGGTGTGACCCTGGAGTAAAGGCTTTGCCACACTCGTGGCATTTGTAAGGTTTCTCTCCAGCATGAATTCTTTGGTGAATCCTGAGGTCAGACCATGGTCTAAAAGCCTTGCCACATTCAATACATTTGTATGGCTTTTCTCCAGTATGAATTTTCTCGTGAAGCCTAAGGTGTGAACCCCTGCTAAAAGCCTTGCCACACTCATTACATTTGTAAGGTCTCTCACCTGTATGGATTACCTGATGTTTACTTAGGCTTGCATGGACACTGAAAGATTTGCCACACTCATTACATTTGTAAGGTTTCTCTCCAGCATGAATTCTTTGGTGAATCCTGATGTCAGATCATTGCCCTGCCACATTCAATACATTTGTATGGTTTCTCTCCAGTATGAGTTCTCTCATGATGCCTAAGGTGTGAACGCTTGATAAAAGCCTTGCCACATTCATTACATTTATAAGGCTTTTCTCCAATACAGATTATCTGATGGCGTATTAGGCTTGAAAGCACAATAAAAGCTTTGCTGCACACATTACATTTGTTTGGTTTCTCGCCAGTATGACTTTTCTGATGGTCAACCAGGCTTGAACTTTGGACAAAAGCTTTACCACACACATTACATTTGTGTGGTTTCTCTCCACTATGTATTCTGTGATGTTTTACAAGCTTCGAACTTTGGCAAAAAGCCTTGCAACATTCATTACATTGGTAAGGTTTCTCTCCAGTATGGATTACCTGACGGTTCGTTAGGCTTGAGCGCACACTAAAGGCTTTCCAACACTCATTACATTTGTAAGGTTTCTCTCAGGTGATTTGCAAGGTGTGAATTTTGACTAAAGGCTTTGCCACATTCGTTACATTTGTAAGGTTTTTCTCTGGTATGGATTCTCTGATGACTTGCAAGGTTTGAATTTTGACTGAAGACTTTCCCACATACATTACATTTATATGGTTCCTCTCTTGTATGGATTATCTGATGTCTAGTGAGGTGTGAGCCCTGATTAAAGGTTTTGCCACAATCATGACATTTGTAAGGTTTTTCCCTATGTGCTTTCTGCTCTTGCGTCAGTGTCAAAGGGTGAATAAAATCACTCCCACATTTACTAGCAATGTTGGTTTGGACCGTAGGAGGAATTCTCTGAAGTGGTGAAACTGAGGAACCATTGTTGACGGACTTCTCAACTTGATTACTTTCACAAGTTTTCCCTTCAGTTTGAAACATGTGTAGTTTATCCCAAAATTTAATCCAAGCCTATTTCCTGCATCACTTTCACCATGCTGATCTCTTCTATCAGGGAGACTGTTTATGGGTTACAGACATTTCTTTGTAATTTATTTCATTATCTCTCCACTGCCACTCAAAGTCGTGCATATTTTCCTGGATTTCCCTGAGGTAAAAATCTTTGATTTCAAGGCCTTCATGCCTTTCCAACATCACTGTTTGGAATACTTCTCCTGTATTACTGTTTTCCTTTGGTTGTAATTTCTTGATCACATGTGTAAGAGACATCTATAAGATATAAAGAGCCATAGGTATCCTATTAATTATAGTTCACAAATAAACATTGTGTGTTGAAAACACAGTATGACAACAAAAGTAATACTTATACTGAACACAGTTATAAAACTTCCCATGATGTGCAAAATTTTAGGAACACTAAAGGAACAGGATTTTTTTTTTTTTTTTTTTTTTTTACTAAAGAAAGAGTACTCATCCGTAAGACAAAGTAATTTTAGGATAGCCTAGTTTCAAACTCAATGACAAAAACACTCGTGCTGTACAAAATTTTTAGCTCTCAAAGAAAGGGTATTTTTCTTTCTTTTTTAATCCCGGTATAGTTAACACACAGTGTTATATTAGTTTCTGGCGTACAACATAGTGATTCAACACTTCCTACAACAACCCGTGCTCATCACAAGTGCGCTCTTTAATCATCTATTTAACCCACCCCCCCCCAACTCCCCTCTGGTAACCATCAGTTTGTTCTCTACAGTTAAGAGTCTGTTTCTTTGGTTGTCTCCTTCCCTCTTTTGTCCCCCTTTGCTTGTTTGCCTTGTTTCTTAAATTCCACATATGAGTGAAATCATATGATATTTGTCTTTCTCTGACAGACTTATTTCACTTAGCATAATACTCTCCAGCTCCATCCATGTTGTCGCAAATGGCAAGATTTCAGTTTTTTATGACTGACTGGTACTCCACTGTATATATATGCCATGTCTTCTTTATCCATTCTTCTATTGATGGACATGTGAGCCGCTGCCATAATGTGGCTACTGTAAATAATGCTGCTATCAACATAGGGGTGTATGTATCCCTTTGAATTAGTGTTTTTGTAATTTGGGGGTAAATATCCAGTAGTGCAATTGCTGGATCTTCGTAGTTCTATTTTTAACTTTTTGAGGAACCTCCAAACCCTCTTCCACAGTGGCTGCACCAGATTGCATTCCCAACAGTGCAAGAGTTCCTTTTTCTCCACATCCTCACCGACACTTGTTGTAAGATAGGGTATTTTCCCACCATGATCCCAAAGCATGTACCAACTGGCAGTAAATACATGTCTCATAACCGAGAAAAAAATTTTGTAATATAATTTTCCGTATACTTGTATAAAAATAAATGCTGAAGAACAGATAATCTATTACAACGGTAAGTAATCCAAAACAAGTTTATCTGATGAATAATGTAAATAAATGGCAATCAAGAATTGCAAAACAAATATGGCATTGAGAAAATGAAGAATTTATTTTTTTAAAGATTTTATTTGAGAGAAAAACAGACGTAGAGTGAAAGGGAGGAGACTCCCCACTAAGCAGAGAGCCTGATGACGGGCTCAATCCCAGGACCCTGAGATCATGACCTGACCTGAAGGCAGATACTTAACTGACTGAGCCACCCAGGCACCCCGGAAAATGAAAAATTTAATAAAACAATGTTTACAAAATGAAATTTTATAAATACCTGTTATGAAATTATCTGTACCTATGAAATATAGGCATTTTAAAACATTAACAAGTGGTGCATGTCAGTTATATTGCATAAAACATCTTTAAATCACAATTCTAGTAACCCTTGATAAAACCAGCAATAAATAATAAGTAACCATGTTATAGAAAATTATACTCTGTGGAGCTCTAAACATTTCCCCTCAAGAATAAAAGAAAGCAGGGCACCTGGGTGGCTCAGTTGGTTAAGCGTCCAACTCTTGGTTTCAGCTCAGGTCATGATCTCAGGTTGGGGGATCGAGTCCTGTGCCAGGCTCCACACTCAGTGAGAAGTCTGCTTGTGAATCTCTCCCTCTCCCTCTGCCCCTCCCACCACTCACATGTTCTCGGTCTCTAAAATAATAAAATGAAATAAAAATAAAAGAAAGATTTCTATTCTAGAAAGAGCACACAATATGAAAACTGGAAAATATGTTGGGGTCACTGACTTCTAAAATATTAAGTCAGAAAAATACATTATAGAAGAATTGGAGAAAGACGTCAGAAGTCACAATTATGATTTCCTGCCTATAGTTATGTAACAGCCAAGCAATAGAGCAATTTCCTATCTATGCAGTGCCCTCTAGTTATCCAGTTCATTGGCCCCAAATATATGCAGCTCAGAGTGTATTCTTTGAAAATTTATTAACTAAGATCAGAGACAAAATTGTTGAGAACTGCAAAATGAAAACATACAGAATATAATGCAAAGGGATATCTCATAATAAACATGACAAAGTTGATATCTCTTACTAAACAAAAGTAACTTTTGAGTGTACTATAAAACATGCAATATTCCATATCATCTAACAGCACTGATCTGTATTTTTAAAAAGATTTTATTTATTTATTTTGAGTGAGAGCATGTGCGAGAGAGTGAGCTGGGGGAGGGGCAACGGGAGAGGGAGAATCACAAGCAGACTCCCCGCTGAGCGTGGAGCTCCACATGGGGGTCAGTCTCACAAGTGTGAGATCATGACCTGAGCTAAACGCAAGAGTCGGATGCTTAACCAACTGTGCCACCCAAGTGACTCATCTGAAGACTGAGTGATATCTGAACCAGGAGAAAAATTTCCTCCGAGAGCTCACAAGAAAGAAGCCTTTGTTTTCCCAAAGAACTCTACCACTGCAGAGTTTCTCAAACACTACTAATGGTGCAGCTTCCTCTCCGCCCTTCTGAGCTCTTCCCTGTGTTCCCACCTGTCACACATTCCCACCCGTTTGGTTTTACGCTATTTGCTCTTTGCCCTCCACAGTCTAGGCTCTTTCCCTTCCTCCAAAAGGACATAATATTCAGGTCAGAAACAGAAATTCCTGCTTATACGAAGAAAAGAACACGAACATGATGTGCTATGGCTTTTCCAGAATCCTAGTTCTTTGTTCAGTTGAGGACAGAGGATATCACAGATGGATCTGGAACAAATATATCACAAATTCCTCCACTGCTTGCCTCCTAAGTGCATAGGAAAGTCTAACACGCAAATGTATAGCCATCTTCCAACACTACTGAATCAAAAGCACAGGGGAAGAAAACAGGAACCTGGATATTTTAAAAGTCTGCCGTATGGTTTTATACATTCTTAAACCCTAGAACCCCTGATGAAAGGAAAGTAGAAGTCAGGATGCCACATTATGAGGCTTTTCATTTCTGAGTCAACAGGGCTTCAATCGCAGTCAAGCAGGGCAGGGGCTCCCAGAAGACAAACAAGGGAAAATGCAAAGATATGCAAGGGCAGATCCCCACTGCTGGAGGGACACTTTCCTCACCCAGGGAGACCAGGTTCCTGTAGTTCTCCACCATCACGTCCCTGTACAAGGCCCGCTGAGCAGGGTCCAGGCACTCCCACTGCTCCTGAGAGAATTCTATGGCCACATCCCTGAAGGTCACCCGTCCCTAAAATGAAAACACATTGCACCAAAAGGCCATGGGGAAAGTTCTTCACACAAAATGAGAAGAGAGAAGTGTAAGTATCAATTTGGTAGAGTGTTCAACAGATCCATGTTATGGTATTTTGAGCAACTTATGTGTTTCTAATTTTAATTTCTTATGCATTCCCATAAGAGATTATGATACCCTCCAAATTAAGTGTGGATTTCTCATTTTTGTGGACAATACATGAAATGAAGCATACACGTAAAAAGTCAATACTGCATTATCTCTACAAAGTATTAGATATTATGTTCTATATGCTGAGTGATATCAATGAGCTATCTTCAGATGACAAAACTGACAGAGGCTTTAAAGAGAAGTCAGAATCTAAAAACCATGATGAGGATAACAATGGCAATAACTTGGAAGTTTGTTTGTTTTTTTTTTTTACAGATTTTACTTATTTATTTGACAGAGAGAGCGAGCGAGCACAAGCAGGGGGAGTGGCAGACAGAGGGAGAGGTAGAAACAGACTCCCCACTGAGCAGGGAGCCTGATGCAGGGCTTGATTCCCTGGGATCATGACCTGAGCCGAAGGCAGACGCTCAACCAACTGAGCCACCCAGGCGCCCCTAAACATTACTATTCTTACTACTATTCTACTATTTAAATCATTAGCCTGACAGTGTAGAAAGAACCGAAGGCCATGGAATATATTTAAGATATAACTTCTACTGCTAAAAAATATGAAATTTATTTACGAAATGATGTCTTTTATAAAAGCTACGGACTTTCACATCCATGCACTTGTACACACACATATAAACAATACAAATTAACAAAAATGAGAACAGTTTTCTCAACATAATTTTGAATGATTTTCTTCATTATTTTCATTCACATGTATTTCAGTATGTTTGGGAAAATGAAAATGTATAAAGTGTACTTAATTCGGTTTGTCAATATGACTGTATAGTAGGCTAGTAAAAAGATGGTACAAACATGAAAAAAACATAGGCTACTTTAACTCCAGTCTCTATAAAATAGCTGAATTCAAAAGTATAAACATAATTTTATCCATTTAAATGTAGGTGTGTAAGCATTAACAAAAGCCAGTTTGTTTATTCCACTAATAAAGCAACAGTTCAAGATTAGAAAAGTTATCGGTGTTATATACTAACTGAACAG